ATCTGTAATGTAATCGCAACACCGGGTAGACGAGGAATGTAAACCACCATCATAAATTAATAGGGATAAACATGCCTACTGAAATGATTATAGTAGTTATTTTTAGTATCCATTCCCAAGTGGGGCTACTCAAGCCACGGTCACCGATTAGGTTTAAGTGACAGTAGATATACGCTGCAGCTACCGCTCTCTCTTGCCTTACCCGCTTGTGCCCAATGTCGGGACAGAGTGAGAAAGACCGGAGGCAGGATCGAACGTGGGTGGCAGGCGTGGCCGGAGCCGTCAGGCCTGGCTCAGAACTCATGAAGCGTGAGTGTCATAGGGGCCATAAATGGCTCGCGCGGCGTAAGTACGCAGGTACGCGTGCCACCACTACGTCACATGTTGGACACTAGTTAGGGGAGCGCAACCCGAATAAAGTTTGCTGTTCCCTGATCCAGCACTCGTGCTGGGGGCGGCTTCGGCCAATCACACCCTAGCTAACGATACGCACCCGAGAATCTATTCGACGACAAATTTCAACACCCGATGTTACCCAAATTATGGGCTGGCAAAGTTGCCGTTTCGGTGACTACCTACTGATTCAGCTTCTACCGTTTGCTCGTCAACACAATTCTTAAAGCAAGATAAAGGCGTAATTCTCCAACCAAATGGGATCATGGTAAACACAGCTGCTGCTTTCATACTCATTCTGTGTCCTAGGAACTAGCAACCGAGACCATCGACTTAATCGTGAAAAAATACAAGGAAACGGCAGGTTACCCATGAGAAGCTCAAATACTTCAGCTCCTGAATTTCTGTCTCAAGACGCACTTCGCGTTTGACACAACAGTCTACAAGTAGGTTAACGTCAGACCACTGATTTCTCCGCTTTAGAGGCACATACTCGAGGTAGAATTGTGCTGGTTAGTGTCACTGGTCTTCGGTGTTAATAGCAGCCCTAACAGACTCGTTATCACGCTGTCTTGATGACTCGTCCCACGGTGCATTATCGATCAGTGCAAGGCGCGCGCGTGATGAGCTCACACAAGCCGCCGACCGGGATTAGTGTTCCGCCTTACTGTAGGAAAAAAGAGATGTAGTTTTGTTTGAAGAAAAGATTTTTGCCGCGGTGTTCGAAGAGTGAACGTGACCGTACTGTGTTCTTGGTTTTTCTTCTTTGTTAAAGCTGAGCACAAGGGTGAGCTCTCGGGTAAAGATACAAAACCTGTGGAAGTTATTTCAACCGACACCTCACAGTTAGGTTGCCCATTTCTTCCCCACGCCTGTTCCTCGTGAAAAGTATCCGCGAGTTGATACTCCCTTCGCTTTTTAACTTTCAATACACTGTTCCCTAACATTATACTTCCCTATGCCTCGATGTTTTTCTCATTGGTCTGACTGCGATTGATCTGCAGTAGGAGGGTGAACGAAAAATCTCGATCTTCAGTGAACAAGGAATTATCTACACCTATGGTCTGATCGGCACGGAATAGGGGGGCTAAACTCGAATCCGCTGGCCCTTCTGATTCCATAAATGGCTCGCCTCTTATACTACCGCTCTGATGAGCTGCAAACCCACTCAGCATATTATCCCTCAAGGACACAATCTGATTAATCCAATTGCATCTGCCTGTACACGCTCTGCTTATCTTAAATACGCTGTACTAAGTACGTAAAGAGACTTCCATTTTTGCGCCCTTGTTGTTATTTCTTTCCTCGAGAATTCGAAGGAGGCGTAAATTGACAGCGACACCTGAAATTTGGCAACGTTATACCATTCAGAAACCACAAACCGTGATTCTGGGTTGGGCGTGCGGCTGCTACCTTGCCCTAAAATGAGATCGCTGTGGCCTAAGCGTTCAAAGCATCCAGGAAAGCAACTTCTACGATGCAAGTACTAGGCTGCTAAAGACTTCATTCAGTTAGCTGCAGAAGTTGTGGAGCAAGGACTTTATGTCAGCGTATTGAGATGCATAGCAGTGGAGCGGAAGGTAAGGGGAATTAATTACTATAACGGTTAGTCTACATGCAAGCGCACTTTAGTTATTATTAAAAGCTATTAGTCAATGGAACAAAACTGTATTGTAAAAGTTAAAAAGGTCGACTCGGTGGGCTAGGGGACTCGTTCTGGAGCCTCGCCAGCAGTCGCACAGCGACTAGTATTATAAATAGAAGAAGATAACCGACAAATATCAGGGAGAGAGAGAGAGATGTGCATTTCTGGCTTATTAGCCATCATCAGTCAGTCTATCAAGTTTACTATTATCCATCGAAACCGGCTCAGTGCGTTAGACTGTTGGATTTAATGCCAACGGGTCGCAGGTTCGAGCCTCGGGTGCTGCACCATCTGCCCACTCTAGTCTCCCTTGTCACTGTCGGTAATGTTTTTCAGTTACAAAGATGTTGGAAATGTCAACCATTATTTGCCACACAGTTGCCGCACCGTTCAATGGATGAATCGATTACATTTTTGCCTGGCCATACTTTTTTATTTTCCCACGACTTTATAGTTATCTAGCTCAGACACTTAATTTTTAAGTTTATCGTCGAGTACCTGATTGCCGACTATTCCCCAGATGCAAAAGTCTTGAGAAATGAGATCTGACGACCATGCAGGCCACTCCGCGACACCCGCAAAATATTTATTAAGCCCCTTTCCAACGGAAGGACGATAATGAGCAGGGACAACATCCTGCTTAATGTGCAAATTGATTAAAACGAGGATAAGGCCGTGCATGTTGAAGATTGTATGAACAAGGTCTACTGAAGGTTCGCGGAAGAGATTCAGTTTTTGAAAATTTGCTGCGATTTCATGTTATAAAGTTTTTTTCATTTATTTATAGCCTTTAATAATAATTAGGGTTCCGTTGCATCTGGATCACCCTGTATTAAAATTTACAAATAAATAAAATAACAGTTTATTACATAGCGTTGCAACAAGTGTACTGTGCGGGATTAATTGGTCCGCCTTTCCTATGATAATGCAGTGACGACTGAATAATAGCTAAGAATACTAACGGAAAAGTGGTGACCTATAGAGCTTCCACGGGCAGCTTTCCGCAGAATTTTGACCCTGCTTATTACAGTATCTCTGCTCAGAAGTGAATTACTGAACATTTTGCGGGTGTCGTGAAATGACCAGCAAGGTATCCAGACTTCAATCTGCTACATCTGCAATCACAGAGTCCATATCTTGCGAATCCCTGCTTTCCCAAGGCAAACGCTTCTACCAAGAGCTGAGCGAAGAGCCAACCAGGAAGAATAGGGTAGGAAGTACTGTGTGAGGCAAGTTAACCGGTACTTAGAGAGTCATTAGGCATCGACGTAGGGGGCGGAAACCTGCTCAAAGGAGCTAGCAGTTCAAATCTGAGTGCGTTTTGGACATCTGAGATTGCCATCAGACCTAGAAATACCTCATCAAAATGGCTCCTGGCATCTTACATGCTATTATAAATGTCATAGTAATAGTTCACAAGTTTTCACAAGGGACAGGCAAAGATGGCACAAATGAAATTAATTCACTAGTCATAGTTTCGTAAGAAGTCCTTGCACAGTACGGTGCAGCATTCGTGTAACATGTCGGCATATGCGAAAGATTTATACACTCTAGATAATCGGCATTAAGAAAGGTTATAATACTGATTATCATGTAGTCTATTCTTAAGTCATTTCAGTCACAATAGGATGCCGGCTTTTTAACGAGCTTCTTTCTGACCGCCAACAAAACCTTTGTACCGTAAAAAGTGGCTACTTAAGTGGTATGCATTTTTATCATTGATTATGTCCATCTTTATGAATTCAAATATATTTATGGGAAACATACGAGAAAAATATTTACTGTATTCGTTTGGTAGCAAGTTACGCCTTCTTTAAATTTTATACTTAAAGAAAGGGTATCTTTCGGTTCTAAACTGGTTTCCAAATTGCCGAATAATTTGAAACCTACTGACTGCTTCACTTGAATTCAAGGTTTACCACTTGCGCGCTTTGTAGATGCTGTCTAAGGAAAAGTACAATTTTGCCTATGTTTTGAGGAAGGAGTCACATATTTTTCATAAAATATTGCAACAGATGTGGAGCATGCTGAATACATTATAGGCAGCATTAATAAATTGACGGATGTGATGTGTAATGAATGAATAAACACGCCACAGCCGTAGACAGTCTCATAATTAGACATTTTTCTAAAACCGACAGATACCCTTTCTTTAAGTACAAAGTTAAAGAAGGCGTTATTTTCTACCAAACGAATAAAAGAAATAATTGCTTCGCGTATGTTTTCCGTAAAATATATTTGAATTTATAAAGGCAGGCATAATCAATGATAAAAAATGCATAATACTTTATTAGCCGCCTTTGACAGTACATACGTTTTGTTAGCGATCAGAAAGAAGCTCGTTAAAAGCCGGCATGCTATTGTGACTGAAATAACTTGAGAATAGACTTCACGATAATCAGTATTACAACCTTAATGTCATGTTACACGAATTTTGGGTCATAGTATAGTGCCCAGAGACTGCTAGCCAACATTTTTTCCGTTAAGGATACGCATCAGCATGTTTATACTTACTAGGCTGTTCGAACGTTTATATGCCTTTAAATTTTATAAGTAAAAAACAAGGGAAGCCTAGATTTACTAAGTCCATTCCAATGGCGGCGACGACGAAGACTTAACCTAGACCAAGATATTTCGGCCAAGAGACAGAGCATAAGACAGCATCGGATAGGAAGTATATTTCGTAGCCATACAGATACAATTTTAGTTTCGCGCAAAGACCTACAGTTCGCAAATAACCCAGTGCTTCATATTGCACTCACAGGGCATCATTCGCCAATTGTGTTCATAACAAAGACAGTCGCCCTTCTCAGACATGGCGTATACGTCGAATTTTCTAGAAAAAAGATGTAATAGAGGCAAAGCGAGGGGCAGAAAATGCTTACAAGTATTGTGGGTAATAGGGTGTGTCCTCAAAGAAGTTATGTGTTCTCTTGGGGCGCAAGAAATAGTGTTTTTCTTTATCAAAATAGTTGTACTAACAAAGCTGAGAAACAGGCAATTCTCCTTACCTCAAGTTCTTCCGTAAACATCGGAGAGAACAGCCTGGTACCGAACGATTCACAGAATTTTTCCGCATCGTCTCTTATCATGGGTTTCGAGCTGGTTATGAAACACTTCACAGGAGGCTTTTTATCATGAC